GGGCGCGGGCGCGGGGCTGGCGGCGCAGCAGAGGCGCGCGAGCGCGGGGGCGTACGGGGTCGGCCCGGGCGCCTACGGCGGCGCGGGCGGGCTCAACGCGCGCCAAACGCAGGTCCAGTCGTACATGCTGCAGATGCAGCAGCAGCACCAGCAGCAGCAGGCGCAGGCTGCTGCCGCGGCGCAGCAGCAGCAGGCCCAGCTGTACGGCCAGCAGGCGGCGTACGGCGCCCAGGCCGCGCGGCGGGCGGGCGGGGTCGGGCAGGCGCAGCAGCTGCTGCCTGGCATGGGGTTGCGGCGCGCGCAGCAGCCCGGGACTCAGCAGGTGGCGCAGCAGCAGCTGTACGGCCAGCAGGCGTTTGCCGTGCAGCAGCAGCAGCAGCGCGGCGCGCAGCAGCAGCAGCAGCAGCAGCAGCTGCAGTACCTGCAGCAGATGTACGGCGGCGGCGGCGGGTACGACGGTGTGCAGCTGCAGGTGGTGCAGCAGCCCCAGCAGCAGCACCAGCACCAGCAGCAGTATGCAACGCTGCAGTACGCGCAGCAGTACGGAGGGGGCGTGCAGAGCCTGGGGGTCGACGCGTCAGGCGCGATCGTACTGCAGGCTGTGCAGCAGCCGGCGCAGGGCGCGGCGGCGTACCAGGCGGCCGGCGGCGGCCAGCAGTACCAGCTCGGCGGCGCCGCGCTGCACGCGGGCGGGGGGCAGGGGCAGCAGCAGTACGGATACACCACCCTCGGCGGCGGCGGCGGCATGTTCGGCGTCGTCGGCGGCGGGCAGCAAATTGACGCGCTGGGGGGCTATGGCGGCGGCAGCGGCGGCGGGGTGCAGTATGTGCCGGCGGCACGCGTGCAGCAGCAGCAGCAGCAGCAGCAACCGCAGCAACAGCAGCAGCCGCAGCAGCAGCAGCAGGCGGTTGTCGGCGGTCAGCTGTACCAAGTCGTGCAGTACCCCCAGCAGGCCGCGGGCGGCTTTGGGCAGCAGCCCGGCGGCTCGCAGCAGCAGCAGCTTTGGCAGCAGCAGCAGCAGCAGCCGGGCGCGGCGCAACAGCAGCAGCCGCAGCAGCAGCAGCAGCCGCAGCAACAGCAGCAGCAGCAGCAGCAGCTCTCGGGGCAGCTGCAAGGGCTGCAGGTTGGGGAAATGGCCTACGTTGGCCTCGACCCGCCCGGCCTTGGCGCTGACCCGTCAGCAGGCGGGGCCTTCTACTTCTGACCGCCCCCTGCGCGCCCCGCTCGCCGGCACGCGCGCCGTGCCTGCTGTGGCGCTCGGCGGCGGCGCGCGCACACGGCTGGGAGGGCGCGGCGGCCATCCCAGCGCTGCGCTCCCGAGCTCATCTGCTCTTGTCTGCGCCCCTGCCTTCCCTCGCGTGCCCTGAAACTACACATTTTCGCCACAAGCCTCCGACGAAACCCTTTTAAGCCTGGGATTCTTTGATTGCACCGCGCGCCAGGACGCCCCGTCGCCGTGCCGCTGCGCCGCCGCCCGCATGGGCGGTCTGCTCAAGCCGTGCCGCGCGCGGCATGGGGCGCGCGGCGGCCGGCGGCCGGGCCGGCGCGCGGGGGCGGCTTCCTTTCGGCGCGGTCAAACGGTCAACCAGTGCCGAGCTGCGCAGTCTAATCATGATGATGCCCATGGACGTGGACGGGCTTGCCCGCCCGCGATCCACCGGCCCACTCTATCTGTATGCCCCCAGTCTATTTGCAACTCTTTAAGCGCACGCGGGGCGGCGGCCGTGCGAGCGGCCCCTCTAGGGCGCGGCGGCGCGAGGCCGCCGGCCTGCTGGCGGGGGCTTTCGTGGGTGCACACCGCTCAAGAGCCGCCAGACACAACATCGCGTGATAAAACGGCACTGCTCACACTTCGTGCGCGCGCACATGCGCTCACATTGGCCAGGCGCCGACGCCGGCCCAGATTGGGATCCTTTCTCACTTTCGCGGCACCCACGTGCCTGCGCGTTTGGCCGACAGCAGGCCGCCTTGTTTCCCGCCTGCGCAAAACGCTACGCGCCGGCGCGCCGCGCGTGGGCGTGCGCGTGCGGCCCTCAAGAAGCTTCCGAGCTGCTGCGCGCCCTTCAAGCCTTTTTCGCATCCAAAACTGCCCCTCCTGCCATGATGTGCGATCCATGGCGGCGCTGCCCGCCTGGAAGAACACACGCGCGCTTCTGGCCCATTTTGCCATTGTTGGGGGGTTTGGGGGTGGGGGCGCACTTGCTTTCGCGCCGCCACTTCGGCGGCGCTGGGTGGGGGCGCGCGTAGAGCTTCGGTGGGGGTGGCGGTCGCAATCAGTTGGCACCGCTTGTCTTGAGTACCGTATTTATCCCGCCGGGGTGCAGAGCGCCTGTGCAACGCCGGCCGTTGCTCATCGGCGGTGTAAGTCACGTTGGGACTCGCGACTGGGCGTATCTTATCGGGAGGGACGGGAATGCAGGGGCGCGAGAAGTGGCAGCCGCACGAGCACAGCACACAGAGCTGTCTTCCATGCCCCCAGTGGACGGCGGCCCCTTGGCGCTCAAGGGTGGTGCGACTGTGGAGCTTCCGCTGATTGATGCCGCCGGCGCGCGGCCGCGCAGTGCCCCCTGCATTACGCGATTTCAGGGCGGCGCCGCCCTTTGCTGCAGGCCATCACGGAAGGGTTCAGGGGTCAGATGAAACATGCTGCGGCAGCGCAGTAGGCACATGGATTGCCAACAGGCGGCTGATATGCACCAACCCACTGGTCGTCCGGTTGTCATTCGGACTAGAATGCACTTGCTACCCTAGCATATTGATCCAGGGATGAAGGGATGAGCACTTGCAGCAGCAAGAACCGTAGGGTGCTCTCAGCGTGAGCCAGCACCGGACGGCATCCCAGCGATGCCTCCAGGTTGCCTTTCAGCTGGCCCAGTGGGCCAGCGTGCCGCAGTTTCGCTCGCAAGGGGTAGAACCAGCGTTTTGCTTTCCCTGCCTGCGGCGCTGGGGTCTACTCGCAGCCCTAGATGCGCGCATGAAGTCCCTTCTAAGAGGGGCATGGTATTATGTAGCGTTGGCTCCAGCACCAGCACCAGCAGCACCAGCGTGGCCGCCACAGAGATCGCCTCGCCTGTTGACGGCCTGCGGGGCCTCTACCCAGCATCTACACCCTTCAAGACCGGCATGCTGCGGGTCTCAGACCTCCACACGATCTACTACGAGGGTGAGGAGGTCCCCGCGTTGCGACGCGCCGCCGCCGCCGCCGCTGCCGCCGCCGCATCTGCACCAAAAAGCACGCCGCCTGCCTGCCGCCCCGCCTCAAACCACTACCCTCCCCACCCCAATCCGCAGTGCACGGCAACCCGAAGGGCGCGCCCGCTCTGTTCCTCCACGGCGGCCCGGGCGCCGGCTGCTACGCCAGCCACGCGCGGTTCTTCGACCCGAGCCACTACATGATCGTCCTGGTGAGCCCCCCCCCCCCAAAAAGTGACGGCATACTGTCACAAGGGAATCACCTCACCAAGGTTGAGTTTTAGTGGACGGGCCCTTATTTTGTCGTGTGCCCGCCCAGCGGCTTCCCCAGCCCTGTTCAGCCTTGGGCCGAGGCGGGGCTGCACCACTCCGCAAAGCACCCCTGGCCCCGACGGTGTCCCCGCC